ATAGCATTTTTTTTCCCATTGAGTGGAAATTTTTATCAAGGGGCCACAGTAAAATTGTAATAAAAAGTAAAAATGTAACATAAATAAGCATTCTTTTGTTAAAGTGGATTTCTTAATCCCCTAGCACATCACTCAATTACCAACCCCGTTTGTTCAGCCAGAGAGCCTTCCTGCATCTGGTTTACAGTAATTGATGTTTTTATTAATTTTGAATGCTAAAAGAAAAAAAAAAAAAGAGGCTGGCATCTGAAACAATTAGAGCTCCCTTCCCTTTCCCTCCTAGCCCTACCTCATAAATTAGTCATTAGAGCATTGTATGAAATAGCCCTCCCTGAACTGAGCACTACAAGGGTTTTAAAGCCTTGAGGTAGCTGTGACATGAAGTACTTTGATGCTAAAAAAAAAAAAAAAAAGCCTTCAGCACCAACAAAAGTGTAGACCAAAATCATTTTAGCATGGATTTAAGGAAAATTACAAGGGCCAAAAAAATCCAATCACTTCCAACCAACAAGTTGACAAAGTCAAGGTTGAGCTGGACAGCAGTAGGTTAAGGAGTTCCACTCTTTTGAAGGGTTAAACAAGATGATTAAAGCAGATGTGAACACTGAAGGGGTATACTTCCATGGAAATAATGATTCTATCACTGCTGAATGAAAAATAAAGTCCTAAGCAGTGTTTAAAAGAGGTTAGGGAATGCCTCACCTCTATATAAACATGTCCTATGCCTTTCTAATGAAGAAAGCTTCATAATTTGTATGCAGAATAGATTTTTTTGAAGGAAAACACTAAATAATAAATGTACTTTGGAATTTGCAAATAAAAATTCAGACTGATTAAAAATTATAAAATAAAAGGTTAGCTTTTTATAAAAATGTCTAATAGAAAAAAAGTCTAATTTGAAAATTAACAGGACACTCAAATCAGACAACACAATTAACCAATCAGTGTGTCAGCATGCGAACCACAGGCCACATTGTGAAATGTTAAGAACAATTTGGGAAGTCTGCTTTATTTATATATCACCACCAACGACATCATGCTGGCTTAATCAATCACAACAGATTTCAAGAACATTATAGCACAAGGAAAGGGGCTTATTTAGTGCAATAGTTATGCTAGGGGCTAAGGAAGGAGCTTGGTGTGGAGGCCTAAGGCTTAGGAGGAAACCATCTCATAATTTACAGAGCATCTACCTCAAAGTCTGAGGATTTGCCTCAACCTTATGAATCCAGTAACTGAAACCTACAGAGCACCAGGCTTTCTGTTAGATCCGGAGTCAAAGATCATGGATAACAGAAGAGCTCACAGGAGCTGGCATTGGTGGAAATAGAAACAAGTGATTTACAAACTAGAGTCTGGCATTGCAGGTTTTAACCCGATGCTGTGAATACCGAAGTTAAATAGAAGAAAACTTGTGAGAGAATGAGTGGCAGGGAACAGGGATCTGAGATTCAGGCAGGCCTTAGCTTCAATCACATTTTTATCCCTTCACTATCTTTTGTTGGCAAGTGCTGTCTCTAAGGTTCAGTTTCTTCAATTATAAATTAGAGATTCTGTCACAGAACTCCAAGGGTTGACATTATCTCTCAGATGCTGCATTTGTGTGAAATACAAGAAAGCCTTGCTCAAAGTAGACACATCCAATGCCAGAGGGCTGCTCTGTGAGTGAACGGGTGTAGAACGAATATGGTCCTTAGGCCTTCCCTAAACCTCCTGCTAGTCTGTATATAATGGTCCAGTACCTCAAGAGTGCAGTTTCATAGAAAAACATAGGCCACAGACATGAATGAGTTTACTAAATGGCTGCCCCTCAAATAGCACTTTTGGCTCTCTCCCTATGCTAATTAGTAAGAGCTACAGGTGTATTGAGACTCCGGTTGCATCCTTAAGGACAGACATTTCAAGCACACAAGACCATGTGCAGCTCAGGCAGTCAGGAGGGGAAGAATATGGGTCAGCTTCAATGTGAGGCAAAGGGCTCAGATGTCCAGCTGGGGATCCAGTGAGACAAGAGGACAGGATCAGAGGTGTGGTTGTGGGTGTACAGGGCAGGGACTCCACATGAATGTCCATGAACTGCAAACAGACTAGACAGACCTGTGACTGAGAAGAAATCCTGGGTATAAGAGAGCAAGGCAGCATGGGTATGTTTAAACCAACAGAAAATCCAGAATAGAGGGCAAGAGAAGTAAATTTCCAGAAGGACACAATGTGTTCTCTTGTATATGAGCTGATCAGAGCTCCTAGGGCATGTGAGATAGCCCAGAGTCTGCCGCTTGATGCAGACTCCACAGATAGGCTGTTGCTAGACCCATGGATGTGAGATTTATTGGAGTTAGTTACAGCAAAAACAGATTGGCTGTCTCAGAGAAACACAATGAGGTAACAAGATCAGGGCCACAGTTCTCTGCATCATAAGGCCTGTGTTCTAGGTCTCTATTTTCTTTCCCTCTGTCTTCTTCTTCCAAGCTAAATTCTAATTCCACCTTATCACCACAACATTCCTTCTTTGTAGTGTTGCCCCCTTCTTGCTTATTTTGGCCCATAATAGAGAAATAGAGAATTCTAACAGGAAGAATAATTTACTGATGTAGAGATACCCGTGTCACTAAAGAAACAGATACTGGCAGTTCCTCAGCAAGAATCTTTCGACCAGAAAACACCCGCTATCATTACCCAATGAAATGGTGCATTTCTCCCCAGATGTTGGATTGAATTAAACGTATCCCTGTCATGGAATTTATAAGCACTGACTTTTGTACAAAAGGTGTAAGCACTTGTCGGTATTTTCCGATCTCGTCTGAGCTAGTGGCTCGGAATTTTAGTATTCTCTTTTTTTACTTAACTGGTATGAGATCTAAAGTATGATTATTTAGAGAAGTGGAAAATAAATGAAAATCAGATGGTCAATGCAAGAAATCAAGAGACTATTGCAAACAGTTTAAGACATAAACTGGAAGAAATATATGAGGATATTATTTAGAAAGGATGACAAAATTATAATTTTTATTATGGAACACTTTAAATGTGCACAAAGAGTAAAGAGAATTTACATATAAGGAATGCTACAATACCACTCAGCTACAACACCTGGCACCCCAGAGACAATTCTGGGTTCATCTGGATTCTATTTAAGGGTAGGTTTTTTGTTTGTTCATTTGTACTTGTAATAATCCTCCAAATAAAGACTACAGAAGTTTACTAAGGAGACCAAGGAGGGGCAGACGGATCTAATTAAGGGAATTCATTATTGCATGAATTTCTGCCTATAGGAAGCAGCTATTTAAAATGGAAGCACCTGGGGTTACAAATGGAAGGTTTTGAAAAAGATTTTCTTTCAGGATTCTATGTCCACTATGTTCAGAATGACAGGAATTGTGAGTGTGTGTGAGTGTGTGTGTGTGTGTGTGTGTGTGTGCCTACACTTGCCTATAGGAAGGTCAAAGGTTAATGTTGGGGTATCTTCCCCAATTGCTTCTCTTTATTTTTTGAGACAGGGTCTCTCACTGAACCGGGAGCTCACAACTTCAGCTAGATCTGACTGGCAAATCCCTATGATCTTCTTGTTCCCCAGAGCTGGGGTATAGGTAGATCCTGCCATGCCAGGCTTTTGTAAAAAAATTGTTGGTGCTGGGGATCTAAACTCAGATCCTCATGATTGAGTAGCAAGCACTTGACCCACTGAGCCATGTAACTAGTCTTATTTTTTAAGTAATTTGTCCTGATCCATTCTAATAGCAGAGCTTTGTTTTTTCTTTATTGAAAGTGGAGGGGGGCATGATTCTAATTATCTACCCTCTCTGTCACTGATGTTTTAGATTTAGTGGGTTGCCCTGTTCTTGGGCATTTTGCAACACTCAGGAATAGGAATTACCATCTGTTCTGTGCAAGTGTGATTCAATGGTGGCTAATGTTTTCAGTAGTATATTACAAAATCAAAAGCTCTAGTAAGAACAAATTAGAAGCCAGACAGTGTCAACTGTAATTAATGGGTCTAAGTGCAACAAGTCATCGGCTTTCTATACCTTTGTAATGGCTTATAGCTCTATAGTTTGGTATTATTAATCACCATAATACAAGTCATACAAGGATAGGATTAAGATAACCCAATAGTACAATACACTCATTTAGAAATTTAACATCAATTCATTAAGATCATGAGGATTATTATTGTCTCCTGTAAACTTCTTATGAGGACTTTTTATTTTATCATTTTCTTGAGACAAGGTTTCACAAGTATCCCAGGCTGGTCCCATTTCACCATGTATCCCAGGTTAGTCTTGAATTTGTAGGAATCTTCCTGCTTCAGTCTCCCAAGTGCCCCAATTACAGGACTGCACTACCATGCCCAATTCCTGGCTTCTTATATAAAGGACCAATTTCTGTCCCCTAGTATAACTGAAGAGTACATTCAGTAGTTAAAGAAATTTAATAGAGTGAAAAAGAACAGGAAATAAGGGTCTCAATTCACAGAGAAGACTGAAAACTCTACTTTTCTTAATTATTAAGTAGCACAGCATTACCAGGGGATACCCATAGCTTGAATGAATTAGAAAACAACTGCTGGTATGTGGGATTCAATAAGTGGTTCGTTGCTACATAGTATTCTGTGGACCAGGTCACATTCCTCAGGTCATAGGCATGGAGAGTTAAGAACTGAAGCAACTGCAAAGGCAAGATTTGGGGAAGGGGTGATCTGGGGCTGGGAAGATGGCTCAGTAGGTAAAAGGACTTGCTGTGCAAACAAGAGGACCTGAGTAGTACACTCGATGTCCTCCTCTGGTTTCCATGTGCACTCAAAGGCTTGCACACTTGCACCCACACCAGACTCATGTGCAAAACCCAACCCCTCACCCTCAGCCACCTCCACCTCCCACACACAGCAATGTACTTTTCAACTTATAGGCACATGAACACTGGTGATTCCACACACAGAGCACTCTTGTCCTTGATTTTTCCTGTAGGGGAAAGCATATTATCAGAAGGAAAAGCTTCCTTACCAACTTCATCCTGAATTTCCTCGGCCACTGCAGGGACATTGTAGAGCAGGGAGAGAGACTGGTTCATGCGCTCATAGATCACGCGGAGGTGTGTCATAACCTGTATTGGAGGATGACAACTCCAGGTGAACTGAGCTGTCTGCTACAGGATTAGCCACAAGCAAAAAACTCCCCAGATAAAACCAACCAGCACCGCTGGAATACTGCCCTGTTTTTCTTGTTTGCCTCTATTTCTTTATTCTCTAACTTTTGAACTCAGATTCAAATCTTGCCTTTAAACTTACCAGTATACTGCATGCTTGTAACAGTCTATTTAAGAGACCACATCTGCAAACTGATTCCTAATACTAAAGACTCTAAACACCCTGATTTCCTACGTGTTTCTTTTCTAGTACATAGGAATATTTTGATTGGATTAGATATTTTGTGCTGAATATAAAGAATTTTAAATTATTCCATTCAAGAAAATAAAACATCTTAGATTTCCAGAGGTAGATCCCAGTTTTCAATCTCTGATAATGAGAAAGCATACAGTTATTGTTTATTATTACTACTACTACTATTATTTTTTTTAAATATTTTATTTATTATTTTTATTTTATGTGTATGAGTGCATTGGCTGCATGTATGTGAGTGCACCCGTGTTGTGCAGTGCCTTGGAGATCAGAAGAGGGCTTTGGATTCCCCTGGATCTGGAGCTAAGGACAGTTCGTAACCGCCATGTGGGTGCTGGGAATCGAACCTGGGTCATCTGCAAGAGCAGTCAGTGCTCTTAACCACTGAGCCATCTCACCAGCCCCTATTATTATTATTTGAGACAGGGTCTGCCTATAGCTCCAGCTGACCTGGAACTCACTATATGGACCAGTCTGGCCTTGAACTCACAGAGATCTCTCTGCTTTTGCCTCCCAAGTTCTGGGATTAAAGGTGTTCATGCCCAGCAAGAAAGCATAAAATATATTATTAGTATTAGTATGAGTATTTTGTTGTTGCTGCTATTGCTGTTTTGAGACAGGGTCTCTTGTACCCCCACTGACCTGGAACTCAGTATGCAGTCCAGGCTGGCTCACAGAGATCCGACTTCCTCTGCCTCTCAAGAGCTGGGATTAAAGGTGTGAGCCACCATGTCCAGCAAAAGCATAAAATATATAAGGCCTCATTTAGACTCAAATTAAATTTAGTTATAGTTACAACAGAGTTTATCACTACCTGACAGAATTTAGTTGAGTTAATTGTAGGGGTTTTAGTTTATACAATTTTCATTTCTTTCATTTTGGTGGTTCGTTTTATTTTTTAATTATTAAAATTTTGTGCATATGTATATGTGTCTGTGTTGTATGAATATTTTCATGTGTGTGGGTGAACATAAATGTGTGCAAGTGCATGGCATGTATCTGAATGTATGTGGAGGCTCTTTGCAAGAGCAGCAAGCATTCTTAACTGCTGAGCAATCTTTCTAGGCCGTCTTTGTTATTTTTTGAGGCAGCATCTCTCCACGTAGCCCAGTTGGCCTTGGCTTCTCAATCCTTTTGCCTCCACTTGTTAAGTATGGAGCAGAGTTGCATGACTATGCCTGGCTAAGATGAGCTTTCAGAGTTGCACACATTAAGGAGCTCTTCCCACAGAAGTCCAATACCCATAGGGGTTCTGGAAACACCTAGACATTGTATTATCAACTCAAGAAGCAAGAATCCTTGATTGTTGAAGCTACAGGTGGTTCCCACACTAGGGAGTACCTGGGACCGGATCTGAGCAGCTTTCTTTGGATCCACCATGCGCACATGTTCGAAATGCTTCAGTGTGTGCTGCCTGTCTTTCTGCTCAGCACGGACATACTTCTTCAGCATGTTGAACACGTGGTGAGGCTGTGAATAAAACAATGAGAACAAGTGTTTCAAGTCTGTGCAACACATTACTTCTTCCATTGGCTCTGCCTCCGACGTTCCCTCAATCTGTAATGTTCCATGTCATCTTGTGGCAAATTCTCAAATTCCTTCATTAATGGGTAACTGCTTAGATGGGTCAGTTTTCATTTCTATGAAAGAATTCAGCAATCTCAACACATCTGAGGACTGTCCTAAATGGACACTCTCTTTTCAAATAAGTAACCTCAGGAATAGAAAAAGAATAGGTTTTGGATCTCTCAGGTTTCTGGAAAATCCTGCTCTTTTCCCACCCAAATATCCAGGGGTCAGTTATGAGACTATATTACCATGTGCACAGTCTTTTATTATTATATTATTATTATGTGTATGTGTATGTGTGTATTCCCTGCATATGTACCCGTGTCATCACAGAGGACAGAAGAGGCTGTTATAGCCCCTGGAATGGGAGTTATAGACAGTTGTTAGCTGCTATGAGGCTGATGGGATTCAAACCCAGGTCTTCTGCAAGAACAGCCAATGTTAACTGCCAAGTCATCTCTCCAGCCCCCCATGTGCACAGTCTTATGACCAGAAGTAACACTTCACAAATAAGCCCTTCATTAGAAACATACAGTGCTGCAATAATAAAAATAATAGGCAATTTAACCACTACTCACTGCAGGCCAAGGAATACATGATAAGCTCCATGGAAGATAATCTCTCAGAAGAAAGGTCATCATTAAATTGTAGATATTTTACTTTGAAATTTAATTAAGTTCTTTGCATGCCATTGGATTCCAATACTCTCAGCAACAATTAAGTTTCTTAAGTGCTTCTGTTTTCTTTCTAATTGTTTCTACTTCATCTTTATTCCAGTTTTATATGAAAACATTCACACAAAAATTTAAAAAAGGACATAAATTCCTTTGTCTCCAACAATTCTAGTGCTATATATATTCTATACGCTCGCTCCAGAAAGTGATTTGGAAAGATTTACAATTCTTCTTCATTAAAATAATACAAGGAGCTGGAGACATAGTTCAGTGGTTAAGAGCACTTACTACTCTTCCAGAGGATCTGGGTTCACTTCTCAGTACTCACATGGTGGGTAATATCTGTCCTTTACTCCAATTCCAGGGGACCTGATGCCCTCTCTGTGGGCATTGCATGACACGGATGCACTTACATGCAAGCAAAATACTCACACACATAAATAAAATCTTTAAAACCAAACCACCAACAGCATGAAAACTCATGTCAGGACCAGATCTGGGGATATTTGGACAAAGTTATTATTAAAGAATGTATCATGGGCATAGAATAGTATAGAATTTATGACCAAAGACACAGTGTGTGTGTGTGTGTGTGTGTGTGTATGTGTGTGTGTGTGTGTGTGTAATACAATACTTTTATTATGTTATGCATTCTATGGGATGGGTCTCTTCTTCCCTGTTAACTTTGAAGCACTTTTCCAGCAATTCTTGGTGGAGTTTGGTGTCATTTCTCTGTGCTCCCATGAAATGCTGTACAAAACTCCATTACTGCATCTATTATGGATGCCTCTGATTCTCCTCTTCGTTGTGAGAGTCACAGGGCCAGATGTAGACTCATTCTTCCTGACTATAGGGAGCCCCAGCCATGGGGTCTGACCTAGAACTGCTACTCTGTACTTGGGGCATGCTTCCCAGAAGCCACATTCCTGTGCTTTAGAACACACACACACACACAAACACACACACACACACACACACACACATACACACACACACATACACACACCCCCCAAAACAAACCTGCCCTCATTGCATGGCTTATCCCTTTGTTCCTAGAAGAAATCTATTTGCCCATATCCCAAGAAAGACAGATGCCCCAGTTTTGAACACAAACTTGGTGGCAAATCATTACAATTCTTGTCTATACAGTAAGATCCATTGAATCTATAAACCAGAGGAAGATCTTTAAATTTTACAAAAAAGTAGTAAAATAGATAACTGATAAGCTAAGCCTATAAAATATATATTTAAAAAGACATACAAATCGAAAAAAATCTTTAGAATTAAGTCGGAAATAAAGGGCAGACTATTCACTGACTCTGAGGGATGTTTTGTCTGCCAGGACTATACAACAGAACATTATATAACCTTGACGCTCAGTTATTATTAAGTTACTATTATACTTCCAAGTCTAGAAACAGAAAGGTCACAACTAATTGCATTTATCCATTATGCTTCTGCCCTGCCAACCAACACAATGCACTCTAAGTTGTCTATTCCATTTTCTTCTTGTGAGAAGAATTATTATTTTGAAGAAAGTGAATTTTTATCTTTATGAGTTCAAATAAGAAAAAGCACTTTAATTTCTAAGGTAAGGATTGCTTTTCATCATAACATATCCCCACACCCCTCCAAGGTGAGCCACCTAAGAATGTTCCTATAAGACATTTTGTCTTGAAAGGATTGGGACCTAAAAGCAATTCTATCAGATGCAAAGGTTGCATGCACACTGCCGGTGGTGTTCTGTGTTAAGCCAAAGTATTTCTTAGAGAACAGGGAGAAGTCATTTCTTATAGTGAACATCTACACACCCCCCATCTTCCACTTTACCATATACAACATATTCCCAATTACTATTAATTAGTGTTAACATTAGTTTTAAAATAAACATGAAACCCTCAATTTTCATATCCCCGTAATTCAAAAGGCAGTATCCTTCTGCAAACTTAATGCTTAGTCCATCACTGGCACTCAATACATTCTTTTTTTTTGCCTTGGTCCTTGTTTACAACTTCTCCTGGCCCTACCTTTCCCCTAGCAACAAAACTTCAACATTCGTTGGCTTTCTGTAAAAGACAGTAGTTGATGTGTTTGATTAGGACCACATGCTAAACAACTGAGCTAACTACCAGGTGGGTGATGCAGTTTATGTGTGCTAACTCATCAAATCTTTATCCCAGTACTGGGGTACAGTGAGAGATGTTCTCTCCACCTCACAAATGAGGCACAAAGAAGGATCAGAGTGGGAGGAAGTGACATAGGACACACAATGGTCCATGTAGTATGGCCACTCAGTTTTGGAACAAGAGCTGTCTGCCTGCAGAACCCTGTGTCCTGACCACTATGTGATCCTGCCCTTCTGGAATATAGCTGAGCCAGGCTAAAGACATTTGTATCAGTCACAGGTAGGCTTGTCAAGGAGATAACTGAATGATGGGAAGAATGTGTTCTAGGAGTCCTCTGAATTTCTAGTTCTTATATAAGCTCAGGTACAGTGATCCCCTATCTGTGGGGATTTTTAAAGACCCCCAGTGGACATCTGAAACTCAAATAGTACCGATCCTACAGAGACTGCGCTTGTTTCTATGCATATACACTTACGTGAAGGTTAATTTATGAGTTGAAAATTAACAATACTTAACAATAAAACAACAAAATAAGTTGTAATAAAGATTATTTAAAACTTATGATGATTTATATTTGAAATCTTTCATTTAATATCTTCAGACAGTGACTGATGCAAGAACTAAAATTATGGAATAATGAAGCCATGGATGGAGAGATAACAGTTCTATTCACTGGAGCACATCGACTGCAGCTCTTTTTAATAGTTGAACAGCTTCAGGTTCAGCCTGCCGAATGTCTCATTTACTGTCCTCGGCTCTTGTGCAAGGCTATTCATTATCGAAAAGTCTGAAGCAAGAAGAAGAATCGGCCAGATCAGAATGCCCTCTGTCAATCTCATTAGAAGACTGCTGGAAAATGGCTCAAGGTATTAGTTACAAGTTGGCTTTTGTGATATTCGTGGATTCTCTTGCTGAATTCAGCCTTATCTTCCATTAAGATACATAATTAAAAGGGTAAATGTGCTCACATGTTTGTAAGCGCTTATCTCACTTAACACTGCTGTTTCTTTGTATGCTTCAGAAAGATATTCCTAACTTCCCCGGAAAATCCCCAGAGCTTGATAATTGAACAGTAGCACACCAGGCAGTGAGGGTCCCCCAGGCCCTGCCCCTGCATGCATCATGAGCCCCAGAAGTCCAGAATAAGCTCTGACCTCATCATCATGTGAGCCCAGAGATGTACTGTGTGTGCAATGACATAAACACAAGCGTTTTCTTTTCAGCACTGACTTGATAATAAGCAAAGCCTGAGGACGTGTGATAATTCAGAAGACTTTAGGATATCCTTCAGTAAAAGAGCTACAAGGTTCTGCTCGGCTGCTCTGACCTTGAAAATGCATTTCTAGGAATCATGCTTAGAAACGAAGAAAAAAATTGGGTTAACTCCTATGCTGGAGAGTAGGCGGATAAACCTCATAAAATGGTGTGTGCCATTAGAGATGGCAGTATTTTTAGATGATGAAGAACAATAAACAGTATTTCTGGGTACTTTTATAATTTTGTTTTTGTTCAAAGAGTTCTGCTTCTGGCTTGTGAGTCATGCAAATTTCCTTCAAAAAATGAAATAACTGTCCTCACAACTCTCACCCACAATAGAGAATTCCTCAAGGTTAGAATTAGTTATTTTTAGAGGTATTAATTGATCCTAGAATAACAAATCATCATTGTCTAGGGAGCTTTATTTGATTATGCCAGGACAAAGATTTATTTACTAAATTTTAATTAAAAAGAAGAAACACCCAAGCAGGAATGGCAGAAAAACAAACGCCTGGTGTCTCTGTTGAAGTATTTATAATCTGCATTGAATATAGAAATAAATTTTCTTAAAGTAACTTGTTGGCCTGATCACATGACTCACATTCAAGATTGGATTTTTCATAGAACAAGCCAAAATTCAGTGGCTCATTATAAAGCTAGTGGTCAAAATAATTTAATAAATATTTTCACAGCTATATATAATTTCAAATACCCTGAAGTCTTTAAGTTTCCTGTAATTAGTGCTGTTTTGTTTTACCAGCAAATTCTTCTTATTTCACAGTGAAGACATTCTATGTATTAATACTGCAATCTGGTTACACGGTCATTGGGCAGTTAACCTAAA